GGCCGGTTATATCTTCCAGGTACTGTACTTAGGGCTGCTGCCGTGACTAAGCTGTGAACACACATCTAACATCTAAATGTTTGTCACTGGCTAAAGGATTGTCACCAGGAGCAAATAAGATAACATCTATAACATCTATAAAAGGGCTTTGTACAATATAACCAGATCCACTAACGGGAGCTATTTTGGTTTACTACTGTGTACATGCAAAACCCAGCCCGTGGTTGACAGAGATGGGAAAATCAAAGGTCTTATAATTTTGAGGCTTAAGGATACATGATAAGCAGTGTCATCTTGTCTTCCTTTAGACTTTCTTAAAGACCGTGGGAGAGGTTCTCTTTTTGCCCAGTTGGACTGCTGTGTCAGAGGTAAGAGAAAAAAACATTGAGATCTTCAAAAGGGGCACCTTTTTGTCTTTCTGGAAGTGGCATAAGTATGGCCCAGTTCACATCTGTAAGAGAAATGATGTATCTCTGGGATATTAGAGCTAATTTTGACTGGATATACGACTGATGTGCAATGCTCTGTCTTCTCTATGGATCAGTTCTATGAGCATCAGTACCATGGTCCTGTTGTCAACACTGAACAGGAAAACAGTTGGATTTCTGCATGAGGAATGTATGCTTGTTTATCATTTTAAAAACCTATTTTTTACCGTCACACTGTTCTTGAATGATAATAAAACACATGTTTGGTGTTTAAAGATCACTAGATTCAATGAAAAAAGTAGAACATGTGACAATATACACTTCATGATTATAAGAGTAAATATCAAAGCAGCCTCTCCTTTCCTCTGTACAATAAAGAACTAGGAGAATGGATACCTTTTCTTTTCTTTTTGAAAGTAACTTTCTTGATTTTACTTATTTAAGAAATAAAACAAGTGAATATGTTGTGGAGAAGTTAGAAAATGCAGATCATAAAAATATATATAAAATAAAAATCACCTGAAATCCTCAGGCTGAGAATGATTATTAACACTCTCGTATATATCCCTTCAAATCTAGTTTTCAATTCTCTTATATGCATACATAGTCTACACATATGCTATATATCTGAATTTACCTGTTTTTCTTTAATTATGGCAAGGACATTTCCCAATGATATTAAGTATCTTCTGCGATGCTCTATCAGTCAGGCTAGGCTAGGCTATGCTGCAGTAACAAATAGGCCCTACATCTCAGTGGCTCAGCGCAGTGGACATTTACTTCTCACTCATGCCAAGTCTGACGTGGGTCAGCTCTTCTTCACCCAGTGACCTGGGGACCCTGGCTCTGTCCATTTTCTGATGCTGCTGTCTCAAAAATGTGACTTCCAGGTTGCCCGGCACGGGTGGAGAAGGGGGAGGAAGACTCCTAACTGCCTTGCCTGGAAGGGCTGGGACCACACCGTTACTTAAAGCGCTCCCTCTCCTGAACTCCTGTAAAGTTTAAAACATGTTTGCCAGTTTGAAGCAGAACGACATCACCTTCTCTCGTTATGAATGAGGTGGCTCCAGGGTTTACATTTGATGAACTTTTTATGTGAACAGTTTCAAATGGAATGAGATCGGGCTTCCCATTGGCAAAGGGAGAGAAAGACGGTCACGAAATTAAGACTGACGTAATCTTACCTAGAAGCACATTCTATTTTAAAAGGCACAGCACTCCAGAGTTCATGATTTCCGGGGGGACAATGTGTGCAGGGCTGCTGCCTGGGAAACACCCAGAGGATGGCCAGTGGAGGGCCTGAGCAGATGTATTTTCTGCATCATCTTAAATGAGCCTTTTCTTAATGCTCTGCCACAAAATATGAATAATCATGAAACTATTCAGACTCAGGCCGGCTCTACTGTGCATTAAAGGGGAGGTATGAATCAGCCACTACCCAGCAGATGTGCATGCCAGAAACACAGATTTTCATGTGCTTAACTGTGCTTGGCTGATTGAAATCAGGCCACAGGCCTGAAAGAAAATGTCTAAAATTGGCCTCAGTGCTCTATTTCCAGCTCGTTAGACTCTCATGGAGTGTGTGTTTTTGAGAGAACGCCTGGGACGCTTAGCAACAGACGGATGCTTTTTCAGAAAGGCGGGAGGAGGGGCGTGATGACAGTGAGTCACACGCCGCGTTCCCAGGGAACTGAGACGCCCCTGCCCTGCTAGACGTGTGCCTGAGGATGAGGGATAGTCAGCCTGATCCGAGCTGGCTGCAGAGATACGGGGCCACCACGAGGGACCCCTGCCTTCTTGGGGATCCACTGGGATCATCTCTGCCCTGGGGACTCAGAGTGGAGAGGCCCTTGGAGGGGAGGCACGTCGGGGAGGCCAGGGCTGACTTGAGGTGCTGGCACCTCCGAAGCCTCCTCCCCTTCACAGAGACTAGGACACAAGTGCTGTTGTCTTCATCCTGGAGGGTACTTGGGAGCAGTGACCCCCCTCCTCGTGAAACAGAAGGGGATGGAGTTGGGGGGGGCGGTCAGAGACCTGTCAAGGTCCCCAGTGAGTTCAGAGTGGAGCGGGGACCAGGTCTGGTCACTCTGTGTCTGAGCGTGGAAGCCTTGGAGCTGATGGTCTGGGTGACCGGGGTCAACGTCAGCCGGTGTCCACATTCTGCGAGCTCGGCTGGGCTGGGTGACCTCCGTGGTCCCCTCCGCGCCTGTGAAACGGGGTAGCGGCGTGACTGTCTCTCCTCTCGTCTGGTCATCGTGAGGGCAGAGCCTGGCCCGCCATGTTGCTCAGCAGATGCTGGGCGTCCTCCTTTGCAGGAATGTTGACAGTGAGCATGAACTTGATCTTGTGCGTTGGTGCATTTGCTGCCTCCGTCCGGTGCACGTGCTGAGCGAGCCCCGTATTGACGTCTCCTTCCTTCATGTCGTGCTGTTTGCAGGACAGTGCCGTGGTGCTGGGCTTGATAGACACCGTGGACACCGTCATGGGCCACATATCTTTCAACCTGCAGGCCAGCGAGCCCCAGGTTGCCATCACGGGTTCCTCATCCGTGGCAGGTAGCTCGGCAGCGTGGGTGCGGGCGGGGACCGGCTGTGCGGCGGGAGGGGAGCGGGGTGCAGGGGATGCCACCTGCCTGTTGAATTCCGCTCCACTCCTGCGTTTTCTTGCACGCGCCCAGGGATGCACAAACCTCACACACCATCACTGGAGATGCACCTCTCCACTGTCCTAAGCTACGCTGCCTGATGCACAATGATATGTTAGGGGAAGACAGAGTTAGGTCGGGGCAGCCGTGCTCAGCTGGGATGTGCACACAGGACCAAGGGAGCCTTGCATGCTGACTTGGGGGCCAGATTCATCTCGGGTGACAACTGTCTCAGTTCAGAACAGGAGGCGAGCAGCGGCAGCCCCTGGAGTGTCCGTGGGGTAGCAGGTTTCCCGGCGTCAGCTGGAGGCTTTTCCAAGACAACAGACACGGGGTCCCCTACAGGCCGACGTCGCAGCCCTTCTGTTTTCAGGGTCTGTGTCTAGAGAGCGTGGTACCCTAATACTTTACCGCCAGAGCCACTCTCTGGAAAGTAAGCTTAATTCACCCACTTGGGTTCATTTTAATGGGAGTTTGTCAGCCAAGACAGGTCCCTCCATGGGATGATGAGTTTGCCTCACTTAGATTAGTGTCTCATTTTCCTGTGTCTCGCGGGGTCCCTGGCGTGGAGGAGGGGCCCCTCAGCACAGGCGTCTCCCTGCCGGACGGGACGCAGTCAGTACCCGAGGCATCATGAGCTGAGGGGCTGCGCTGAGGGCACAGGGGTCACTGCAGGCCGGGAGAACCCCCCACCAGCAGTGGCAGATGGATGCGTCGGCCACATGGCCGCAATTACTGCCCTGGACACTCTTAGTTTTTAGGTTCTCGTTTCCTAAAGGTAATTACACTCCCCAAGAGAGCTCGTTCTGTTAAAAAACGAAACAAAACAACAGAAGGTAGGGTTTTACAGCCCAGTTTCCTGCCCTGGAGTTGACTGACTGCAGCTTCCTCTCTCTGGCTTGTTCTAGACTTTTCCATGGCCAAACTGCTCCCCAAGACCATGAATTCCTCCCACTACCGCTTCCCGGCCCAGGGGCAGAACTACATTGAGATCCCCCATGAGGCTTTCCACAGCCAAGGTGAGCACAGCTGGGGGGACCTGCGCCCCGGCACCCTCAGGGAGGGACTCAGCCCTGTGAGCTGTCAGCTGGCAGAGGGGCTGCCCCCAGCCCTCCTCTGTGTGCCTGTGGGGACACAGTGTGTCATCAGACGCTCTTGAGATGTTGTCCCAGCGCCGACTTGACTCCAAGTCTGCTGCAGCCTGATGCTCTGGGAGCGGGGAGGAGGGGCTGGGAATCTGCATTCCAGACGGGCTCGCTAGGCGATTCTTAGTGGGATGTGAACTGATGTGGCCACCTCCCCTCCCTGCTGGGGGGCCCGGTGTCCTCCTCCTGGGTGGGTCCAAGGCAAGGCCTGTGAGGAACCAGCCCCAAGGGGACCCCTATTACTCTCTCTGGCCCTGGAGCACCGTCGGGGGCCCGGGTGGCTCTGGCCATTTTTGCTGCCATGACTGTCCCGTCTGCCCCTTGAAAAGTAACTGTGCCTCTGTAGGCGTGTCCCTCCGTCCCAGGGCCCTCGGGCAGTCTGGGGAGTCGTGGATTCTCAGTTTCTGACAATCTGGCCGGAGGCCATGCACTTCCCGGGTTCTGGCTTCAGGACTGGGGGCCGAGCTGCGGGGTGCAGGGCCATGGTGTCCCATCCCCAGCACGGGGTCCTCACTCCCCAGCCCTTGGGAGCCAACCTCTGCTCCCTGTACCCTCTAGTTTGCCTGTGTGAAAGGTGCTCAGGGATGTCGGGGTGTCCTGCTCTCAGGGGACTGTCCCCCCTCACTCAGGGTGAACTACAGAAATTGGGGGCGTCCAGGGACAATGCCGAGGTCAACCGACTGCATGTGGGATCTTTTGCCATCTCACATGGCTGCACGATCTGTTAGAAATCCTCAGTTTCTCGGAGTTGGCAGGACCGCAGCCTCACGGTCTGTACGTACGGAAGCTTCTCACACTTGGCGGTACAGCTTATTCTCACAAGCACCAACTCTGTGGATGGAACTCCTGGGCTTGAATCCTGGGTCAGCCCCATACTTACTGGGCAAGTTATTGAACCTGCCCGGCCTCAGTTTCCTCATCTGGGATAGGGGACAGTCTTAGTACCTCCCTCAGTATATTGTGGTGAGAATTAAAAGGGCAAAGCTTATACCAGTACCTGGCACACGGTAAGTGTTATGTGAATTATTAAATACGTCCCTGAAATCTTAACACACTCAACCAATATCCCGAAGAGCTCGGAGGTCAGCTTGCAGCTTGCCCCTCCCGGCCTCCCGTTAAGCTCGTGCACGGAGGTAACAGAATAGATGATTCTTGTTTCCAAGTTGGAGTATCACAGAGAGGTGGGACCCAGCCAAAGGCGTGACAGACGTCTGGGTGACTGTAAATCCTGCCTCTCTCGAGCGCTGGTGTTGCTGTAAATACTCCAGACGCAGACAGCCAGTGAGACGCGCTCAGACTGCAGCGCTGTCGCCTGGTGCTGCCGTCCACAGCTCGATGGGGGCTCTGCCTTCAGAAGCTCATGGTGTCTGGCTCCCCCGGGGGAGCTGCAGCATCCGTGTGTCCAGAGCTGACTCCCCCGGGCAGCGTAGGGAGCGATTGCTGCGGTTGGATTCACAGCTGAAGAGTGGAGGGGGGGTCTCTACTCAAATTCTGTCCTTGTGGCCAGTTCTGCCCCTGAGTGTCCCTTCCCTCGCCCCCCGAGGAGCTGCCGGGTTCCTGGGTGTGAGGTCTGCGGTGTGTGTTGCTGGGCGAGTGGGTTTGGCGGGGAGCTCTGTGTCTGTCCTGCTTGTCACCTGGGATGCTGACAGGTGTCTGGCCATCTGCTCTTTCCCCAGCCTGGACCACCGTCGTGGGCCTTCTCTACCGCTCGGTGCACTATTACTTGAGCAGCATCCAGCCGGCCAACACCAAGTGAGTCTCTGGGGGCCACGCAGCATGGAGCGGGAAACGGGGTGCTTGTTTGCTGGGTGGCTGACGGCTGTGACACCCGCACCTCCTCACCATCACCAACACACGCAGTATTGTATCAGAGGACTTGTGACGCTAATTCCTGGTGCTTCACTGTTAGGGCAAAGGAGGAAGACGCAGGGACTCCTACAGTGGGGGTTCAGCAAGCTCTGGGGTGTAGGCTGATAGTGCAGTGGTCAGGAGCATAGGCTGAGTGACCGTATCGGTTCCACCTGGAACTGTGTGACCTTGGACAAGTCAAGTGACCTCTCAGCCTCAGTTTCCACTTCTGTAGAATGGGAAGCCAGTAGCACATGCCTGTATCAGTCAAGACTGTGTTGGATATATCAGCTTAGGCAGAAGGTCAGGGAACTGAGGGCACATGTGACTAAGAAGGGCAGGAGTCAGTCGGGTTCAGGCACGGCTGGCTCCAGGGACCCAGAGGATATTTCTTTGACCTGGTCTCTATGTCCCCTGCCTCTGCTGTCCTCTGTGTCAGCTCATTTCCAGGCAGGCCCCTCCAAAGAGGCGTGGCTGTGGCTCCGGGTAGCTCCAGGCCCACGTGGGTTGGGGTCCTGAGATCTCAAGAAGGAAAGCGAGTCTCTTTCAGCAATGAAAAGTCAGTTTCATTCAAAATCCAGAGAGGGCTGTGATTGGCCCACTTGGGTCACATGCCCATCCGGGCCCCCAGCCTTGGTGGGAGAGGATCCTGCACTCTCATTGGCCAGGTCTGCTCACATGACCCACTGGGGCTTGGGGTGGGGGTGGGTCAGCCCTACTCCGACCACAGGGAGGGGCTGGTTCCCTTAGGAGAGGTTAGGGCCGGGGTCTACTCCTCCCTTTCATGGGGTCCCTGGGAGGGGGCAGGGAGGCAGAGTCCAGGGCCGGTGCCGAGAAAGGGCTTACGAGGTATGAGCCCAAGGGACCCCTCTCTGCAGTTAGTGTTTGGAAGGTGAAGCCGGTTTTGTCGGGCACAGATCCGCCCCAGACAGGGGCTCCGCGGAGGGCAGCAGGCAGGGCCTGGTCCATCTCTGTTCCCGCACGTCTGGTGGCGCAGACAAAGGGACCCGGCTTCATTTGCCAGAATATCGGGTGGCCT